AGCAAATTTAAACAACATGGAGCCATTAAAGCTGCTCTCAAGGTCTGTATGATTTCCCTTTTTTCCAAAAAAATAAAATAAAAATGAAAACCTTATTATATCGTTGTTGTTCTTCACACATCCTCTTGTGAATATTGGTTAGTAATCTAGAGTTTTCTAAGCATTTCAAAGCCCCAAGCATAAGCCTTAGATTATGTTTATTGAGGGCTTTAAGTTTTTTTGTTGCTTGATTGAGAAGAAAAGAATGTAATTGGATTTGTTTACTGATACGAGCCATCATATGTAATTCTCAACTGCATAATGAATCAAATTATCCATCATTCTACCTTGTTTGAATCATTGTCTAATTCAAATATAGAGATTCTCTGGGTTCTACTAATTGTGACTTCTGAGTCAAATAAGTCTTGTGCTGTGTTGTTGAGTCCATTAGACCTTTTGTTTTATTGCACTTATCACTAATAATCTGATACGGGTATGTGATAGTACACAATATATTCAAGAACATGTCTTGAACAGATAGGAAATCCTAGATAATTGTGCTTACCTTTACCAGTGCATGAATTTTTATTATTTGCTGGCCTAGATATCTTCAGGATAAGGTTTAATGTGAATAGCTTATTCAAATCTATGCAACTTCACTTCATTTCAGGATACTAGTTCCTCTCTCTGAGTAAGGGGATTGTACCCTTGTTATTATAAGTTCATGTGTCTAGTCACGTGAAAGTAAACCATAGGTTGAGCTTTGGTCTGCATCTTCCATTGTTCACCGCAGCTAAATGTGTGCATTTATGGGATACAATTCTTGAATAAGTATGTGATGTTTGACTATATATTTTCTTTTTTCCATTAACAGTTTTCCCATCGTGACACGTATTAGTTACAGGAGGTGCAAGCTATATTGGTTCTCATGCTGCACTTCGATTATTAACGGATTCCTACCGCGTGACTATAGTGGTAAAGTCATGTATCTTTTCTCTCGGCGATTCAATTTTCATCATTGCAAAATACAAATGTTTGATTGCAAGTAGTAATGTGGGCTCACTCTTGCAGGACAACCTCTCTAGAGGTAATGTAGGTGCTGTTAAGATTCTACGAAGGCTTTATACAGATCCCGGAAGGCTCCAGTTCATTTAGGCTGATTTGGGAAATGCGAAAGCTGTATCCTTGTCACTTTTGTAATTTACAAATATTTGGACCTGATCTATTCATGCATATAATATTCGATTCAAAATGTATCCTTGACAAATTTTCAGGTAAGCAAAATATTTGCAGAAAATGCATTTGATGCTGTGATTAATTTTGCCGCTGTTGCTTATGTGGGTGAAAGTACACTTGAACCTCTCAGGTCTGTTTTTCTTTTTCTAATGTTTTATCTAAATTAAGCCTTTCTTGAAATGTTATCATGTGCAATGGGAGAAGTGTGGTCTTGAGCCTTTTTGTTACTAGATTTTGTTGGTACAGTACGATGCTGCAAAAGAAATTTGATCATGTATTATGTACTACGTGTGGATTCGTATCTTTGCATATATCAATTACCCAAAAAAAAACAATTAAAATTAAAAATATATTCTTTTATTTATCTCTTTTTCATTTCTGATATATGTCTAGAAAATGACTG